ACCTGCCCTAGAAACCCGCGGGTCTGGTCCAGGTCTGAGCTGGACTCCTAAGCCAGCAGCAGCACCCACCCCAGCCCCCGCCCAGGCCTCACTGGTCAAGGCGCAGCGTGCCCCTCCCTTCCGCCCTGGGACCCACAAAAGGACAAACAGGAGTCGACTGCGGCTCTGAACATTTTATGTTTAAAAAAAAAGGGGGAACCGTCCCCACAAGGGGCAAAGCCCACGTAGGCCCTGCCTATGGTTCTCCCTGGACGTCTGCGTCAGTCTCAGCTGCTGCCCAACCTTCTGCGGCAGCGGCCACTGCTCCTCCCCCGCGTCTTGCTGAAGCCTGTCCCCTGGCGTCCTCAGGTGCACCCCGAGCTCCGGGGAAGGGGGGACTGAAAGCCCCGGGTCCCGGGCAGCCAGGCGTCACATCAGCAGGCACCAGGCAGGCCCACTGGGTGTGTCCAGCATCCGCATGGACACCGAGTGTGCACCAGGCTGTCTGCCAGGGCTCGACCGTGTCTCACACCCTGCAGGCTGCTGCCTGACACACCCTCTGAACCGCCCAGTCTCGTGCCAGAAATGGGCAGGGAAGGAACGGCCCGGGGACCCTGCTGCTCCAGGCTTCTTGCCGCTCCGCCACAGGGACCCAAGTCAGCTGCTGTCATTCTTGATGACCACCTCCACCCCATGGTGCCGCAGCTGGGCACGGAGCAGCAGGTTCTTGTTCTTGAGGTCTTCCACCTGACAGGAGAAGGCGGCATAAAGGGAACAGGAAGTCCCTGAACTTACTCCGACATCGGCTGGTGAGGGACAAAGACGCAGCCTGTCTATGGAAAATGAAGGGTAGAGTCCCAACAGGGCTCAGTGGCTTCGGGGTTGGAGAGGGCTCACTGGCACAGGAAGCTGACCTGCTGGCGAAGCACTTCGTTGTCCAGCTGCAGCTGGTCCAGCCCTTGCAGCTCCTCAGACAACCGGTGATTGCTCTGCCGCAGCTCCTGGATGTAATCGCAGGCTTTGGAGAGAATCCCCCCTTTACTCTGCAGGAAAGACCAACACAACGAGGGCTGGACTACAAGATACCCGCCTGCTTTCCAAAGCAGTTCACTCTCTCGGCCTTACTTTCCCCAAGAACCCTCAGAGGAAAGGGTGACTGCTGTGTGCAGCCCCGGGACACAGGCACCTGCCGCCCAGGCCCCTGACCTGGCCTGACTTCGTGCTCTCCATGGAGCAGTCTGGAATGATCTTGGACAGCTGCACGATCCAGTTGTTGATCTTGTCCCGGCGGCGCCGCTCCACTGTGGGAACAGTGAGGGCAAGGTCACTCAGCCTGCGCTCGCCACAGGCCCAGGAAGTTAGCTGACTGCCCCTCACACACCACAGCTGTCCGCAATCCCACCAGACAGCTCCTAGCGTCGCCCCCGGGTGCACCCACCTTCATTATGCTGGGCCCTGCGTTTTTCATCCCGCGTCGTCCGAGGAGCTTCTGACTTCCTGACCATGGGAGCCGAGGGCAGCCAAGTGATGAAGGTCAAAAAGTCAGATTGGCACTTGGGGTAGGAATCACACCAGATCTGGCGCTTGTGGTAACTGAGAAGGAACAGGGTTACTCACGGGGAGTAAGGATGGGTCCTGGGGGCAATGGATCGCTGGCTTCCTCCCGGCAGCACTTCCTGTGGTGACATCATCACGAAGAACTGACCTGGGAGGGTTAAGGCACATGGGACTAGGAACCTCAGCAAGCTCCGAGGCCAAGGCCCTGGGACCCTCCTCTAAAAACGGCAAATTTCTGTCGGCCAGTGTGGCTCAGTGGTTGAGTGTTAATCTATAAACCATGAGATCAGTTTGATTCCAGGTCAGGGCACATGCCTGGGTTTTGGGTTTAATCCCCAGGAGGAGGGGGTATGCAAGAGGCAGCCAATCAATGATTCTCTCTCATCATTGATATGTCTCTCTCCCTCTCCCTTCCTCTCTGAAATCAATAAAAATATATTTTTAAATAGTAAGTAAAAATAAAAAGGGCAGAAAAAGACAATAAACAAACAAATAATGAAAAGGGACTAACTTCCTCGTGCTGAAGGGGGTCCCACATTTCCTGCCTGCCTTGCCTTCAGGGACCACTGCCCAGCATGTCCCACCACCCATCCTATGCTGCAACCAGCCCCTCACACAGCATCTCACCGGTGCCAGGAGGGGTGGCCTGTCCCAGCAGTGCCTCCGAGCCCTGGGTGGTGACAACAGCCGCTGCACTCCCTGCCGTGGTCCCTGCCGCCCCGTCGCCCACAGCAGTGCCAGGGAAGTAAGCGTAGTGTGTCTCAGCGGCCGTCCCCTCTGTGTCAACTGCATCGTCACTGGTGAACGCACCCTGGATCACCGCCTAGAAGGACACCAAGAGGACAGAGTCCAGTGACCATCAGATCCTCCCCAAGGAACTCTCTGCTGCTGCTAACCCTGAGGGAAGGGGGGAGGGTCCAGAGTGTCTGGGGACCCTCTGGGGATCATTCCAGACTGCTCCATGGATCATTCCAGTCACCACCCTGGCCTCCCCATCCCACTCCTTCCCTGCCTCATCTCCCTCTGCAGAGTTCTGGTCCCCCCTCCCCTCCCATACCTGGGTCATGGACTGAGTGGCAGGGTAGCCACTGATGGCACCAGTCCCCTCGGTCTGGCCATCCAGCTGCCCTTCAGACACCTGGATCACCCTGTACATCACCTAGAAGCAGGGAGGAAAGGGGAAGGAGGAGAAGAGAGGACAAGAGAGTAAGTGCTAGGGCTCCAGGGCCCCTCGCAAAGTTTCTCCTAGACAGGGCCCCAAGAGTCCTTCAGAGCCGCCACCCAGCTGCTCCCCTGTCTATCCCCATATGGAGGTTTCAAAATGGCCCTACTCCGTACCTACCTCTATTCCAAATCCAACCCCCCAACAGTCCACATCTTCACCTCATCCTCCAAGCCAGGTCTCCACATGACAGGCTCAGTTACCTCCCTCTATCCCAACCCAGGTAACACCTGCAGCCACCTGGCCCCCTCCTTTACCTGGCCCCCATTCTCAGTTCGGAAGACGTACTTGACGTTGGGGTCAGGGAAGGTGGCAGATGACTGGATGCTGGCAATAGCCACACTGGTTGGGTCCTCCCCAGTTGCCACTGCACCTGAATTCAAGGAGCAAGGAAGACTCTAAGTGCTGCTGCCTTCCTCCCCATTTCACTTGCCTGTCGTCAGGGGAAAAGGTGCACAGACGCCACAGGGGAGGGAAAGGCCACGATGGGCTCTCGGTCCCACTCACTTCTTTCTGCCACTCACCTTCCTGGATCTGCACTGTCCCCTCTTCCGTCTCAGCTGTTTTCTGCTGCCTGTTTGTGAAGGGACAAAGGGTTAGGATAAGGGAAGAAGCGCATGGAAAGCTCACTGGCTCAGGAACACATGGGCCAAAACTCACTGGCATTCCCAACAGACACTAGGTGAGACTGGAATTTGCTGTTTCTTATGTACAGACACTGAGCAGGCAGCACCCATCTCATGCCAAGAACAGCACTACGAGGCGGGCAGCAGTGCTTGCGTTTTACAGACAGGAAACCAAATCACACACAGCCAGCAAGTGATTCAGGAGCTGGGACCTGAATCGAGGTCTGCCTGACTCCAGAGGCAGCACCTTCTCCCAGGCCTCCCATCTCCCACCCCACACTCCACCTCGTCTTCACTCACCCCTTCATCTCTCTGTGAGGCGGCACATCCAAGGAACGGGCCCTTCTCTGGAAGTCTTCGTACCTCCTGCCTCACTGGCCTGAGTGTTAAGTCCTGGCAGAAATCAGGAGTTTGCAGTGACTCTAGGAAACTGAACAGCCCCCATATGAAAACTTAGGCTCCATGAAGACACAGCCGGACACATAACCCCATTTCTGCAGGGGCAGTCGGCTTCCTCTATCCTGATGCTGAAAAAGCAGCTCCACTAGCAGCCTCCCTGTCCCGTCACTTCACTCCTGGGGGCGGGAACAATCACAGGCAGCTGGCAGGTGAGGATCACAGCACTGTGATCTGCAACGACCTGGGGGTCAGGAAGAGCCAAGAGAACACCATCTTCACCCCCACAGAGCTGCCTGCCTGTGGGGCTCACTCCACGGCTGACCCTGGAACCAAAAGGTCACCGGGTTGATTCCTGTTCAGGGCACAGGCCCAGGTTGCGGGTTGGGTCCCCAGGTGGGGGTGTGTAGGAGGCAGCCAATCGATGATGTTCCTCTCATCGATGTTTCTATTTCTCTATTCCTCTCTCTCTAAAAAAAATCAATAAAAACATATTTAAAAAAAACACAAAACCACAGGACCACTGACGCTGATGCCTCTTCCAGCTGCTCAGCCACCGCCGAGCTGAGTGCCAACAAATTTCTGTTCTCAGATCCAGGAGGGAACCAGAAGCCACTGCCCTGGGAGAACCCCCCAAACGAACCCTAAATACCAGACCTGGCCTTTGAGACCCGTTACACTGACAGGCCCTTGTTTTGGTGTCCAGATTTGTGTTAAAGACCCAAAAGCACAAGTGCATCCCTTTAAAGCCCCGAGGTATCCTCTCCAACCCCATGTATCTCATTCACGAAGCTAGAACGACACAGTTGCCAAAATGTTGCCACGACACCTCCAAATCCAAGGAGCATGGGCAGGAAGGGAGAAAACTCCAGGCCGGGATCTTAGGGAAGAGACAGCCGAGGGGCCTGCCGCGGGCCAGACATGCAGCCGGGGGCCAGGAAACCGCGCGCTGGGCAATGAAATCACCCCGGCGCGAAAGGGGAAACTTTTTGGTAAATTCTCTACCCAATAGTCCCCCAAACCTTTCCCATCCAAGGAGAGTCTTCAGCGACGAGCCTTGGAAAGCCCGGATGCAAGGAAAGTGTTCTCCAAAAAACGGGAACTGAAAGCGAAACC